AGTATTAGGGCCCGATTTACGCTAATTTATTTTAAATTTCGACCATACTTTGAAATTTCGACTTCTACGTTATCTTGTTTTGATTACACGTAAATACCAAACATACGAGGAATCAGGCGAAATGGTAATCGGGCGAAATGGCAATCGGGCAAAATGGTAATCGGGCGAACAGGTAATCGGGCGAAACCGTTCGGGCGAAGTGGTAATTGGGCGAAATGCCCCCAATTCGGTTAATTCATTGTTTGCAATTTACATGTACACATGTATCAGTGATGGTAGTGATATAGTTTGTTGCCAATTGGTGCTGCCAATGCCAGATTTTCGTTGCTCGTATTTGCTAGAGGGGGTGAAGAAAATTGAATGTACACAGAAAAAGGGGGTTGACTTCATTGATCGGCCATGTCAGCAATTCAATGTCAAATATTGCTTTCCACTGTTAAAATACCTTTTTATGCCCTCTCGCATTATTTTTTTGTGAACTGATACTGAAGTCAGAAATTAAAGTTTTCTTTGACTACCAAGGTTTCTCGATGATGTATTTAATATTTTTATTTCAAATTGAGCACAGATATTATTTTATCAATAAGTATATTTATTTTTACACAAGACACATAAATAAAAATAAATATAAATACATGTACACTTCTTGTTTAAGCTCCTTTCAGATTTACAACATACAGGATATATGTCCTTCTACCTGTATACATGCATCATTTTGACTATTTGTAAATTAAATCTTGCAGTAACTAAATGATAAACATTTATTTTAGATTAAATTATTCATGCTAATATATATATTATAATGCTGCATTATAATCACTCACTGAGACAACAGCATTGTTGCATTAGATAAATCGTGTGAGACAAATCAAGAATTACCCATCCATGTCGAATTTGAAACAGACATAGTGGAGATAATGTTCACATGTGAATGATCAACTTACGATAGTTAACAGAATATTTGATATCGAAATAGGTTTTGTGATCGAATTTCCTTGCTACATTTATAAATTGTCATTTTTATGTGTGACTTTGACACATCAGAATTGGAACCCCAACAAATATATAGCATGAGCCAGGCAAATGTTTCATAGGTGGTGAGAACACTGGTCAATTGCTTGTAGAGGTGAATGATACAAACATGTACATGTATGATGGATTGAAAAAGAATTTTTTCCCTGCATGCATAGTGTGCATGTTGAATTTGAAATTTACCTGCACTAACTTGTTATGAAATGCACCACTTTTAAAGTTGAAATAAAATTTATGGGTTCTCGATTGATGTGATCACGAAAGATTTTCCTTTTTTTTTTGAGTTGTCTTACAATGTTAGTTGAACTTAATTTAGACTTAGTGAATATAATGAAAAAATGTTGTGTTAATTTCTACATGCACAGTGTGCACATTATATTATGAGTTTACTTGCACTAACTAATGATCTATGTGCATAGTGCAGTGTGCACCAGAGTATTTTGACTCCTGTATTAGTGATGTCATAGGCTAGTTTTTTCCACATAAATTAAATGTGAGTGAATAACTACATTCCATAACACTCAAAATACCGTAACAATTAGCATTATGAATAAGTGATAACTTAACACATGATTACCAAAAAAATGAAAAAAAAATGTTATTTTTTGAAATAAATTTTTTGCTTAAGAATAATATGCTATTATTGCCCAAAACTTCCTGATGGTCGCCATCTTGTATTTATGTATGATTCTTGATGATCAGCAGATAGTGATATCTTTTCAAATAATAACTTTCAGTTGTCATTCTGGTTTTGCTAACCAATTCTGGTTATTGATTAACATAGTACCATTGCATGACTTGGTTTCCTCTGTGTATCATTCAGAAATAGTAAATGTATAAAAGGATGTTTAGCATGAATATCATAGCAGTTCACATTTAACCTTTTTTCACCACCAGTTCCTCCTTTTTCATAACAAATTCACAAAAATATTGGTAGTCCAATTTATAATTTGCACTTTCCTTCAGAAGAATTATACAAAAATAGCCACATTTTTTGAGTAAAAACTGAAAAATAACTCAAATTTTGTCTGTTGGCTCCAAAATTAGGGTTCATTTCCAGAAATATTGAAGAATAAAAGTAAAAAAAAGTACAGAAAAAATTGAACGAGAAAGTCTGGTCATTGTACTTTTTTCAGTAGAAATAGTAGATTGTATTTGTCGTTTTATGACATTCCTCATACCTTATGTGGTATTTGTGCAGTCATATGAATGAAGATAGGGAGACCACACCCATGTTTGTGTTTCTACATTGAAGCAGTCTGTGGATTTTACGGCTCCTGAAAAATGATTACTATGAAACATGTCCTTTTAGCTAGCATATTATTTTAGCTAATTTAAAGGAAAGTACATATTCTCACACTGAGATTGTAGCACTTTATCTAAATTATTAAGATTCTACATTTCGTGAATTCAGTCAAAATTGTTAAAATGGCATGTAGCTATTTCAAAGTGTTTTATAGAACGTTTTCAGAAAATAATAAATTAAATAAAAGTATCACTCTTTTTTGTTATTAGTATTAATTCATGTTTTCTTTCACAGCATGATATTCAGTATTGGAAATTATATGTAAAACAGTTTATACAGAGCAATGAGAATGTCATTGATCTAACTCACAGATATCTTACTGATGGGTAAGTAGTCACATTGTGTATTCTTTTATATCTTGATTTCAGAGTCTGACATATTAATAAACATAAATATGAATCATAATTTTTGCCACTAACATTTGTGTGCAACATTATGTGCATGTCATTTTTGGTCCCTGTTCAAACGAAGTCTGATAACTTGGACTTACTTGTATAAGTTCCCACCTCTGTGCAT